AGCTCTTCATCTTTCTTGAAGTGGGGAGCCCAGAACTGGACAGAGTACTCCAGATGGGACCTCACTAGGGCAGTGTAGAGGGGAAGGAGAACCTCCCTCGACCTACTGGCCACACTCCTCTTGATGCATCCCAGGATCCCATTGGCCTTCTTGGCAACCAGGGCACACTGCTGGCTCATGGTCAACCTGTTGTCCACCAACACTCCCAGGGCCCTCTCCACAGAGCTGATCTCCAGCAGGTCCGCCCCAAGCCTGTACTAATACTTACCAAGGGACCCAGGAGTGTTAGCATTGTGGGCACATGGCAAAGAACTGACCCAAACAGAAGCACTTCAACATGATTTCAGAAGCTAAAATATGTCAGCTGCTCAAGTAAAATTAAATAATCTACCTAGCTATTTCAATAGAATATGCACACAAAAATCAGGACAAGTAAACCCCCCCTTGAGTGTTTTTTTTTTTCTTTTTTAAAAACCTACTGATTTTCTGTTAAAAAAACGAGAAAAAAAAATCCCTGGGAGATCTATTACTGGATGAAAATTTCACTACCTAAAACAACTCTTATTTGTGTTCAACTATTCATCCAGAACTATGCCAGTTATGTAAATAATTACTTACAATGCTTGTAACACTCACTAAAGGGTACATATTTCTTGACGATATGAGCAGTGAATTATTTGTCTTGATATCTGTAATATCCTAGGAGAAGTACGTAGCCATTCAAATCTATTACTGAAAATTACATAAACGACATTTTGTTTGCACTTCAAGAAAAATTTATATAAAGGTCTGAAAGCACATTCTGCTGTATCTAGTGACAGAGAAAAATTCCTGTTTCTTATAAACAAAAGATAGGTACTAATGCAATGTATTACATGGTACCAAGCTAGAAGAGTAAAGGTACTTTAAAATGAAGTTCTGTGAGAAAGTCATGAACCTTCCTCGAAATAGGGCTACATTTTATAAACAATTCCGACATTGTGGCCCAGAACTGTAAAAATATTTAGATACCTAAAAATGCAAATAGGCACCAGAAGCAATCTTCATGTTCACTTTAGACACTTATCTCCCCCAAACACAAACACAGATGATTGACTGGCTTTGTCATAATCCATCTGTTAAGAATTGAGATGTGATGGGAAAAATAAGCTCCTCACTTATATCATTAAAGAATCTTTATGATATTATAATAAGTAAAGCAATGCAGTCAATAGCAATTAGGAACATTACTGCTTTCAGTGATCCTACCAAATGACAAATCTATCATTACTTGCTCAAATGCCTTTAATAAACTGGACCTCTGTGCTGTAAATAGCTCAGAAAAATGAGAATAAATGACACATGCTCAAAACTATCATGTCATTTGTGTTCAAGTGCAAAAGGGGAGTTAAGCCAATGGCCTGTAGTTTTGCTGTAAGCAAAAGAAAGGAAGAAATGACAACAAAACAAAAAACCCCAATCTGTAAATGCTTGTAGGAATCTCAGTAAGTGAGCAACTGAATGGGTATCATGAATTTGGACAAAGTTGCTATTTATTTTCTACACAATGCAGGGATGTAAGAAATAAAAGCTTACATAAGTCTAAACCCGTGCTGCTTTCAAGTGCAGCTGCTCTCTTCATGTCAGTTGTTATTGCAAGCTGTCAGGGAACAGTTCTTTTCACTTGTAGATAACTCTTGGAGATTTTTACAAAAGCAGAATTTGACAAAATGAAGCAAGCTTTTATATTCTGACTCACTCTGATATTCACAGTACCACAGAAATATGTTTAATCTGTATACAAGCACAATTAACTGCAACTGGGCTTGGGCAAGCCTCAATAAGCTTTTGAAAGAGGATATAATGACTAACCCTTAGTTAGAACTCAGCATATTTATGACACCAATAAACTGAGACCAGATTTGTCATACCTTACTTATAATCATCTAAAAATTAGCTGCCTAATCCATTTTATACTAGCCTTTCTTTACTGTTATCATTGACAGAGAAAATGGGCCATCACAAGCAAGTTATTCATCCCTATCTAAGACAGATACCGAAAGTATGTGAAAGTAACAACTCTCTAAATAAGTCTTGCTTTCAACTGCCAAGACAGGGAGCACAGACAACTACCTTAGACACGATGCCTAGCATTTAGATGGAGTCATTTATATCAGGTATGGTATCTGATACAAAAAAGCCAAGATTGGGAGAGTAAATCTGCATAACTTCCCTATATTTATCAGAGTAAACATCAAGACGGATGAAAAAGGCCACAGAGTTAAGCACATCGTGGTTGTTTCCTCGCTTTGCATAGCTTGTTAGCATTGCAGTTTATGAAACAGGAATACAAAGACACTCACAGATTGATAGATCTTGATAAGATGACAGACACAGTCAGAAGGATGCATCCACAGGGACCAGTTTCAAACTGAAAAAGAAAAGGGCTGGTTTTATTTTGTTTGTTGTGTAGATTCTTTGCCCAATCCTAATGAAATCGAACTGAAAGCAGAAAAAATTGTTCTCATTTGTGCCAAAACTGAAATTATTGCTCTGTTTGTTAAAACTGAAGACAAGTCCATATAGTGTTTGAAACAGTGTTCAGAAGACATCATATGACACAGATACACACAGAAAGACTGGCGGCTGAACTGTAACAGGTTTAGTATCTTCTCTATACACAGTACCTGGTGAATATTCTGCTGAAGAAATACAATCAGATCTTCATATCTTGTGGCACTATGTAGTATTAGCTGGGAAGAAATGTAAGAAGAAAAAAAAAGTAACTGAAACAACAACTCATTTTTATAACCTGAAAGCTGAAGTAAACTAGCCAAAACTATATATCTAACTGGAAAGGTTTGAACTAACAAATGGAAGATCTAATGAAATCTGCCTCTTACGGTTGTTACTCAGTATAACACTTTATCTCCGCACTTTGTATATTCTGAATTTTTAAATACAGCTTCTTCTTGTTTTTAAGTTCATTGAACAGTTTGATTCAATTTTAAGCATTGTTTATGCAATGAAAAACAACTTGTAGGAAAAACATAGCAATAATGCAGCTTTAGAAGACATAGAATGGGTAAGTAGCTCAGGAGGTTGCACACACGTGGTGAGCCATCTACAGCAGGCGTGTATCAGAGCACTTCATATCATACTCAGAGCCTACTCCCATGAATACTCCTATTTAACATGAAGTTCAGGAGAGTTCACAGATCCAGGCCTTTACTTTAACATTCTTTGTCTATTTTTCCATCTTCAGATTTTGACAGAAATTATGGTCTTGCTGATACTGCGTGAGGAAAGACCAAGCAGTCTGGATTCTGTTCCTTTCAATCACATTCTCACTGTGGCTCTGTCCACATGACCTTTGATGAGCAGTACTTAGAGGCAGCATAATGGTGTTAATTGCACTCTGAAATAGCCAGCAGCTCAGAATTACGTTAAGATATTAATTAAAAAATCTCTCTTGTCTCTTGGAAGAGCAAATTATGGCCAAGGTTTTCTGCTGCATTCACTGTATTTATACAGGTTTTCATTTCCAGTTGTTCCAAAGCTGTATGGTTCTGAAAAGTTTTTGACACACCCATTCCTCCATTTAGGAGGCCAGCAGTATGTCCTCAAACCACTAAAGCCTGGCTTATGGCACCACTGTTCGCAAAGCCGCTTGAGAGCCTCAGATGGAAATAAAGGCATAACCGGAAAGTATTTTGCCATTTGGAGCTTCTGGAGGGGAAAAAAAAAAAAAAAAAAAAAAGCAAAGAATTCTGTGTAAGACAAGAAGAAAATACTGCCTTTTGATGCTCATGGCCATGCTGGTCAACTTGAAAGGATCCACGTTCACTCGTTCACTTTTACTGCATATCAATAAAAGTAGGCAGATTACAAGCTTGAAAGGTAGACGGAGCAAAAAGGACTTCAGCGAGCCCAGCTGCCCACAGACACTGGGACGAGTCAGAGCCAGACAGACTACAAGATTTTGTGATTTCCTATTGGGTTTTGGATGACAACTAACTAATTTGACACAAAAGATTTTAAAACACTAAGAGAGCAATGGAAATCAGATAATTGTACTAAAATAAGAAAAGCTAGGAAAAGAATATATGGAGAATGTTACTGTGAGTTACACAGAGCCTTACAGTTTCTAAGATTCCATCTGCCTTGTATTTTCCTATGGGAGTGAACTGCTGTCTTCCTGACGGCCTGTAAAGGGTATTCAGACAAAACCAAAGCTCATGTTAAAAGGAACAAAATGGCATTAAAGAGAAATCAACATGTTATATGAACTGAATGATTAGGCAAAGATTTTGTGTTCTTATTTCTAACCACTTTTTTAAAAGGGGACCTCTTACATAATAAGTTCGTATTACATATTAAACTTTTATCAATGAAGTATATACTTTAGCTGTGCTGTGCTCTCTCAGTCTATTTAATATGAATTACAAGTTTCTTTAAACAGAAAGAGGATAAATATAGGTTTAAGATGTTAAGGACAGTTTTTATTGGAAATTAATATTAGAGCAATGACATTAAAACAAGCAAAAGAACATATGTACAATATCATCACAGAGGAAGCATTTTCTAGATGTAAAATATGCAAAATACCATTTGAAATGTCTTTGAATTTGCTGCTTCTATTTCAGGTTTGTCCTTGAATTTACTGCTTCTATTTCAGGTTTGAAGAAGGACTTCTGTGCCCAAAAGCTTGTCTGTTATTTTTCAGCTATCTTAGTTGATCTAGTGAAAGAAATGAGCTATTCTACAGAACCTGGCTCACTTAAAAATATTGTGTAGGATCCAGTACAGCCAAAGCTAGCGATCCAAGTTAGATGTCTTGTGTACAAGCAACCTAACTGCAGAACATAAACTAAGTAACTAGTAGGCAGCTACAGCAAAAGGACATTAATTCCAGAAATAATAGAATATTCTGCAACACAAAATTGTTGGAGTAAGTGCTGCATCTGGAAAAATCACTCTTGGTACAAGATTTTGGAGGAATCCTAGTCTCAACGAAATCCACAGGATTTTCACAGCAATTTCAAAGGACTTGACTGTTCTGTCCCAGCTACCAGGACAGCAGAAATGACTTTTGCATTTCTTCCTAAGCCATTTTAGACTCCATAAATACATCTCACAAAACTTTCCTTTTGTAAACTATGCACTTATGCAACAGACACAAGTATAGGAACATTGTACAATAACTCAGACCGCTCCTCCTACTTACAGTGCCACAATTGCTTTTTCACCACCTCCTGCACGCCACAATATGTCTGCAAGAGCCATGGTGAGGCATTTGGTCCTGTGCACTTCCGAAGGCTGAAGACAACTGCAGTCCAGGAAACACAAAAAAGAGACAAGCACCAAAATGTGTATCGGGAAGCTTACTCATTAAAGGGCAAACTGCCTCAACTACTGTATACACAGACTCCTAGCAGGTTTGTGGCTAAAAGAACAAAAGTATTTTTTTAGAGAATATTTAGGTGTTGCAATGCCTCATAATGAGGGTCTGGCAAGCTGCCTTAGAAAATTATCACTTAGGTATCTCAGTTCCTTTTATAGTCAAGAAAGAGCCAACTTGGATGGCCAACTCAGTGAGCTGAAGAGGGAGCTGGTATTGTTAGTGAGAAGACATACCAGGTACAAAGGTACAGTTGAATCCAGCCTTTCTCTGAGGATTAAGCATCTGAATGAAACGGCAGGAGAGCACTCAATGTGCACGCAGTGTGAAAACTTCTCAGCACCAGCCTGAACCAGTGATAGGAGGATGTGGTGCTGCTGTTCAGCACCGAAAGAACTCTAAAGAGAGAGATGCAGCTGAAGTTGCTACAGGAACATGGGCTTTCTGGAACCATTCTTTGAGGTAAATCACCTTAAATCTCATTTTAGGCGTTAAAGCAGGTGTGTTGGACCTTGCTGAAGATAATCAGATCCAGTGAACAGAGCTGTATCTAGAACAACTTCCTCTTTAAATTGCTAGTAAAACAAACTGGCCACAGTGGGTAGGTCTCTCCTGAAGTCAGAAGCAAAACAGAAATTTGAGGGAAGTTCATTCACCTAGGTTAAGTGTTAACAGCAGTGTGTTGCATTTGGGGGATCTGGATGAGCTTAACTTGCTCATAATGATGGTTAAACTGCTGTTGTGGGTACTTAAGCTAAGCAATTGCAAGCTTGCTAGCGTATGTCTTAGTGCTCTATCACAATACTCTTGTAATTCATGTGGATCTAAGAGATGAAGTGCACAATTTCTGCTTCTAGGGGATTAATACTAAAGATGGCGTCTGATTTACAAGGAACAATTAAAACAAACCGATTATTATCATTAAGACCAATGGACCAAAATCAAGAGAAGACTAAATAAGGTATGATCAACATCAGGAACTGATTATACACATATCTACCCTGAAAAGTAATCTTCTAAAAGAAACAGTGGATGCTCTTTCAGATTACATATTTATAATTGGTTGGACAAAAAAATAGGCAAATGTAGGGAACAATACTGTATTGGCAAATAATGGAGAAGATAAGCTAATTCATCTTTAAATCTGTAATAAACTTGTTTGATTTTTCTGTAACAGAATTGTTTTATATATTCAATATTATTTTTAGTTTATAAAGGCTTTCGTACTTAATTTCTTTCTTTTAATTTCTTTACTCTTGTCAACAAATCGACACCTTAATGTTCTTACCTACTACTAAATTTTATCTGAAGTACCATCTGCAACAAACACTATGCTTGCATTTTTTCAATAACGTATGCCCTAAAGTGGTGACCTAAAACATTATGGCAACTGACCCACTATTGGTCTGTGGAGCCCCACTGTTTCTGAAATATTTTCACTTAGATGCTTGGCTTGGAACTTACACAATGATGTGCAAAACTATGCAACGTTTACAGTAGTCTATTGATCCCAAACATGTAAGCAACACTGTCAACACATTTGCTACACACTGTGCTTTGTGAAGTCAGTTCTAATACCTCCTGTTATTCTAACTTCCAGGATGTGAATGGAGAAAAAAAGGATCAGGAGGACAAAAGTCACATAATGCAAAACTGGCAGATTGAAGAATAAAACCCAACATCCATGAGCCTGAAGAAGTGGACAACAGATCCATGCCCCTGGGAAGCACAGAATTGGAATTTTGGTCCTCTAGTGGCTTCAAGAATGGCAGTCTTTGAAATGCAGATATTATCAGTTTTAGAGTGTTACCAGCATGAGAGACGATGCCAAAAACTGTTCCCAGCATTTGAGTAAAAGATCTAATAATTCAAAAGACTAAACAAGAAACACCAAACATCAAAAAATTAAACAGACTTTCAAGTTCAATGTCTGCCTTGAATATAATGCTCATTTACAGACTGTTTCCCTCTCTGAAGGATGTGAGATATGGAAAATAATTGGTGAGAGTTTTCAAGTAAAAAGAATGTAATCACAACTTTCTCTTATCTCCACCTGTGTGTTCTAATACAGACACTCGGAAAATTATGAGAAGCATAGCAACTAATTTATGTGTCTGAGAGAGGCAGCAGAGTAAGAAGGAGACATGATAATTATTTCTCGAACATCGAAGAAGCCTGAAGTCAAACACTTACTGTGAAGTGGATAATAATTAGAATTAGTGGTTAGAATTAGAAAGGAATATTAATCCTCTCATTTCAAGCCCTGAGACTTCCCTTTCTTTCTGCCTGCCTAAGAGTTTCTGCCCATGGCAAACACATGGTAAGAAAAATATGTTCATCTCACGAATAAAGCAGTCCACCTTGCTATTCATTTTTAGAAGCCCGGAGGCTTTTAGCATATCTGTACATAAAGACAAAGAGCTCACCTGCTACCCTGAAATTCCTTGGAGACTTTCCGCATACTTCAGCAGCATTTTTCATATACGAAATATGTAAAAACAAAATCTTTTAATCCCTTGCGGATAATAGGAGGGGGAAAATAGGAGAGGCAAATATTGCCAGGTAAACAGGATAGGTTGTAGCTAGCATGAGTTAGGACACTTGTAGTTTAAACAGTCTGGCCTCAATCCACTTATCTGGGTGCCACATAATTTTATGACATTTATGATCACTGAACCATGACGAAAGAGGGAAAGGTTAACATCTCTATTTTTGCTAAGTTAGACCTGAGACTCACAGGGACCAGGGGAGGAGACAATCAAAAGCTGTCCTCCAAGCTGAAATAAATTCTTGGTTTTCACAACCAGAAATTATTCTTCAGTGAATTCTGTGGAGCCTTCTGGTCATAAAGCCTAAATATGTACTCATTTTGTTGCATGGAAGTTTCTGAGTTTTTTCTTTTATGTGAACAAGAGCCTTATTCTGCCTTGAAAAGTTCACTTTACTTATACTCTGAATTAGAATAATAATAATTTTTCTAGCTAATTTTTGCACTTTCAGAAAGTGTGCTCTGAACAGCAGGCTCTCGATATGAATTACAGACAGATGTAATGTACTGAAAGAACTGAACAGAAGAAGAAAAAACCTAAACTGCATGATGTTGTAGAATTAACTTGACATTACACTCTGCACAGGTATTATACCACTGACCCTATGTCTTTATTAGTCCATGCTAATTGCCTTTAAGTGACTTCAAGGAACAGGCAATTTTCAAGTGATGAAATCACAGCATCTTGTTTATTTGCCTCTTGCCTTGGGGTCCGGTCTGCAAGTAATTAGTGCCAATAATACCTAGCAACAATAACAGTAGTAGTAACAGTAAAACATTCAGTATTGTATTTAGACTCTAAGCCTGGCTTTCAAAATTTCTAGTGGCTTGCTAGGTGTCTCGTATCAGGACCGTCTGTCTACTGGTGCTCCTGGACCTGGGCACCTGTGTGGACCCCTTAGGGCCTGGTAATCCTTTGATTAACTGTCACCTCCCATCCTGGGAGCTGAAGACAAATAATGATGTTCTACAGGTGCCTGTTTCTTTCCATTATTGATGAAAACTGCCCATACAACGAATTTATATTAAGTGCCAGCCAGACAAAGCTAAGGAAAATTAACAGAGACCCTGTCACTTTCTAAAACTGTTCCAAGCAGAAAAATGCATATTTAAGGCCTAATTCTTCTACGTGATGAACATTTTTACATCATAAGATAATGAAGTCCAAGAAAAATCTCAGCATAAATGCTTTTCTTCTGACTAAACTGGGGTTAGTATATCACCCACAAATAACACAAGGTGGTGGTACCACAAACCAGTGAAACACTGTTCTTCCTATTCAGTAAACTCTATCTATAAAGCACAGGAAAGCTTTGTGAAAGTTTTCTTTCACAATGGACTTAATTTCTTATTGAAAACAAAAGGTGTATACAAGAAGTTTGGTAATAAAGTAATTATTTTAGATATTTTTTTCCAGCATTTCATTGAATAAACTCTGTTTCTTCAGCAAAGTGACAAGTGCGCTAATATTACAGCAGTCCAACAAATTTTCCTTGACATAAACAATACTTCACAATATTCCTTTAAGGTAAGTAGAAAATACACACACAGAATTAAGATTCAAATTCTGTTAAGGAGTTTAACTATGAAAGATAAAATGTAGTAGCAAGAAAAAAGAAATATAGCTATAATCTTAATTTTTCAACCTCCCTGAGATTCTTATTGTCCAAACCAGCATGATTTCCATGGTCTTTCAAATCCTGATTACATTTTCGTTGAAATGATATCTCCATGGGATCTCAGGATTAAATAATTTTCATTGGCCTTCATTCAAGCTGTTGGATTTCTTTAGACGTTCTTGCATTACTCACAAGCAAGTAATTGTACAAATAAAACACCAACCTCTAAGTTCCTACAGCTGAAAGGGAAGTAAATACAAGTAAATCATATGCTACTTTCTTTCTGTCTCGGAGACAAAGAGAAGATCAGTACGTACAAACTCAAAAGGCTCCCGAGTGGCTGCAGCAGAGAAAAAAATTTTTTACTTCCGTATGGAAAATATTTCTGATGTCAATTGCTGACTTACCGAGTGTCTTTATTCCTGTTACTGTCTGCAAAGATAAGCTGCTGTAGGACACAAGCTTGAACTGCAGCCAGTACTCCACATGGGCCACCCTGAGGGGAATAATGGGACACTCCATGAGCAAAACAATTTGCAGTGTTTGATGCCAGAGAAAACTTTTGCAAGCCATATGCTTCCATTCAGGTTTAAGCCATTCTTTCATCTCTCTCTTTCCATCCATGACTTTGTAGTATTCTCTGTTGCTCTATTTTTTTGCAAGCCAATGAAAATCAGTGTTACTAACTGGTATCGTGTTTCTCACCTATTTTTCCTGAAAATGCTAAACACCTATAATGTCAAAGGAAATTTTTTTTTAAATCTGTTCTGTGATCATGCAAACAAATGAAAGATCTACTCCTGATACCTACTGAGCCACACTCTACCTTAACTTCTAGCGAGAAATCAGATCTGTCTGTTTTTCAAAGGGTGAAAATAAGCCTTGCTCTTTCACCTCCTCTGAGCACTATGCTTCCCCTCAAGTTCCCGCTTACATCACTGAACTAAGGTTTCAGTTTTACGTATATCCCTCTGCATCAGGCAGCTATCTCACTGCTGAAGAGAAATTAAACAAAGGAAGTTCTAACATTTCAAATTATTAATGTTGGAAAACAATCACAATACTAACAAATACCACATTAACTTTAAACTTTATGGAAAACAGATTTATAGCTGTTTTGAAAGACTGTGGGATGGGCTAGCAATGTTATTTCCCTCTCCTTGCGTATTCCCTGCCGTCTAGCCCACCTGACCCCACTGCATGACCAAGACCTGTTCCTATGGGTTAACTATACGGCAGAGACAGCCTCACAAGTTGCCCTGCGAAGCCCTCTTCTTGTCTAGAAAACTTCATCGAGCATAATTTTCCTTCCCTTGTCACTCAGTTCTCTCCCAGGTGCCTTGTATCATATTATTTACTCGAGTAGTTTGCTGAGCAGACAGAAAAAAGCCATCATTTGTCTGGAACATCTACGTATGAATGGAGCAGGCTATGCAGGATGCCAGACTAACATCACATATACCACACAGTACCACACATGGATTGGTAGTACTGGGAATTATGGCAACTTAACAGAGGATGCAGCATATTAAATCCCAAAGACGTTGTCCCATGTGTCTGTCAGCACATGCTGCCATTCTCAGGAATGGGTTCATTCCTAACATTAGGAAGTCCACTGCCTTGACACAGTCCCTCCCTAAACCAACATCTCAAATAGGCTGGCATATCAGTGCTAACTTTGTCTACCCAGGTAACGTAAGAAAAACAATGATGCTAAGAAAGTATGGATCACCCAGAAGGTTTTCTGGAGAGTCTGAGTCCTGATTTTAATCTATGCCAAAGTATACACTGTTCTTACTCTCCACAGCATGAGATTAACCCAGCATGGCACTGCTGTCATATGCTACAGTTGCACCCTTGATTCCTTCTGTAGATCATGAACAGGCTGTGATAAATCAGCTTAGGACCTGTCAAACTCCTCTCAAAACCCTGGAGGAGAATGAAAAGTGTAGCTGGGACTGCTATCTTCAAACAGCAACATGATCAAAGAGATCACTGTAATTCTCAGGTTGTCTGAAGTACAGCATCAAGCCTAAGAGAACGGGACCTGCAGGTACATACAGTATGCACAGTATGCAGCCTAGAAAATAAAGGTCCTGTAATCAGAAAATAGCTTAGATATTGATATTTTCCATTTTCTCATTTATATTGCACCCACAAAACCTCTCTACAATTACTTACATAACTAATGAGTGAATCATCTGAAATATATTAGGCAAAAAAGCAAGGTTTATTTCAGTCCACCAGGGAAAGCGTTCCAGTCAAAAAAATTATAGGATAGCACCACAGAAACTTAACATAGGAGAGAATCAAACAATTGTTCAGCTGAAATGAATTTTGGAAGTGAGGAGGAATATATTAACTATCTGAAATAAACACATCTAAGCAAAAGACTTTGGTTTACCATTCCTGTTGTGGAATTTATGGTAGGGAATTTAATGGCCAGCGAGTCGCTAGAAGTGATGAGACATTCTTTCTCTAGCAGCAGGGTCTGGCCAAGGTCTACCAAAGCAGTATTTACTGTGGACTAGTGAACATTACTGCAACGGTTCCTTTTGGAGTTTAAATTAACATTTAATGTCTTTTTTTCCGCTAGGTCTTGTTTAAACATAAGCAGCTTTTTTCTGAGATCATCAGTCTAATGCAATATTTAACTAGACAAGGTAAGTTAATTAAACACCTTAATGACATGTTTATTAGCCATTGTCCTTGCCCCAAAGCCTCTCTTCCTCTCATTTCTGTATAGTACGTAATGGTCTACTTCTCTCAGGCCAGATAAAGATTTTCTGCATCAGTGCAGAAGCTTGATGAGTGTTTAGTAAAGAGGAGGCTACTCCTTCCCTAGTCTTTACTGAACTCCTCAGATCCTTGCTCTTAGAAGAACAGACCTGGTGCACAGATATCCCAGCAGCATATATACAGAGTCACCAGGCAGAGACAAAAGCATTAAGCTGCAGCTGAGGAGGATGCATTTTTACAATGGATCTGTTTGAGTTTGGAGGCAGCTACATATCCTGTGCCCTGCCTGTGGTCCCTTGTCTGAGTCTACGTATTGGGTAGCTGAGAAACCGGGCTGACCAACAGAATCCAGCATAGAGAGCAGAAGGACAGTCTGAAGCACTGCAGCCTCCCTCTGTAAGAGTCAGGTGCCCAGGCAAGGTTGACAAGACAGACATCAGATGAGTGAATGCCCTAGACCAGAGAGATCTTTGTCAGCACCAAACATTTCTACGGATTGGGTACATTTCCAGGCTGACCCTAGTCATGGCATGGTGGTTTTATCAGCTCTGGTCACCACGGGGAACGCTGGGGATTTTCGAAAGGGGCACTTGGTACATGACGCCTAGGAATTGCTGAAAACCTTGTTTTAGAGAGGAGATGACATCTTGTGGCTGCGGTCCAGAATTACAGAAACATGGCTGCAGAAGAGGTGGTCCCACCAGCAGTCCCAGTGACACTGCAGGGACATTTGTTCTTTTTTATTTTAGGTATGAGCCTCATCATGACCCCCATATCTTTAAGCGCCAAAAATCTCCCTGCGGTTGTCCACGCACTGTAGGTAATCCTTGCTAGGTCCCTCATTTTGAGACAGATTGAGCTCCATCTTAAACTTTTTAAACACTGCCCCCACAAATCCTTTCTCTCTTAAACCCCACCCTTGATTTGTGCCCTTTTATTCTTTTACCACCACTAGCTTTCAGCTGAAGTGGCTTGTCTTCCTCCCTAGGAATAACTCCCTGTCATACACACCCATATGCACACTTTCCATAGCTACTTGTTTTCCCTCAGAAATACTCCATCCATCTCAAGTCTCCTAACAAGACTTGACAAGATGACATCATCCAGTGGTAACCAGAGAAGTTAAAGAAAGAGAAGAGTCTTTAGAAGACTTTTTTTTTTTTTACTGCTGAAACACACAGACTTTTTAAACTCCATTTAAAAAAAACAAAGATCACTTTAAGGAAGCCATTTATGGTACCTTTTTTTGCACAATGCCGTATTTTAACTGTGGTATGTTATTAAATGTAAAACTCTGTATTTTCCATTCTTCACTGAAGCAACAAAGAGTAGAGCCAAACAAAAGATTTTTTAATTCCTAAAACAAACAAAAAAAAGAAAAAAGTTCTTATTTTAAAAACAAATCCAAAATACAGGTACACTTTCTTGGAGTAATTTGTAGAAAAGAAAGGAGGAGTGCGGAAGGGTAATGACTTACTCACTCTAACCACCCTTTTCTGTTTTATATGTACTGTAAATAGCAACAGTCCAATGAAAAGGAGCAATTTTTTCCTTTTCCTGCAATATTCCTTCAACTCATAATGCTGTGTGCTGCTCAGCATAGGAAACTGTTTATGCACATCGTCTGGGGCACAGTTTCCCATGGAAGCATTACAGAATATTGCCTTAAATTTAACAGCTAGAAGAGCAACACCTACTAACGGTTATATTAGGGAGAAATAGACCCTGCTGGACACAGTACTGAGGAAAGGCAGCCTGCTTTCCCTGTCAGCTTGCTGGTATGAGATAAATGTTACTCACATGTTTGACTGCTGTATGTCGGATAGCATATCAGCATATGCCAAATTCAGATCTTGGCCCTCAACAACTGCAGACGACCACTATTCAGGAACAGCTAAACTCAAGAAATGGCATTCATGCTAAAGTAAGTCTGAGTAAATAAGAACAGGCTGCTCAGGGTTTGTATAGTTACTCAGACCTCTTAGATCTAGAAATTAAATTGGAAGATGCCCTCATTATCTTTTCTCTGGTTTTTTTTCCTCCTGAATGGGAAGGAAAATATTAAATGTATCTAACAGTTCCACCTCTGCTCAAAAGAGGAAGAAAAGCAAGGGTGAAACAGTGACGGGGAATAACAAACTTGTTCTGAACCACCTCTCAGTTTAAAGGACTGAAGGATAAACAAATGAGTAACTGACTAGAGGCTTTAATAAAATAATACAAGTTTCATTAATTAAAGCTATTATCTGTGCTTCAAGTGGGCTGATGCATTCTGGCATGCTCTTCTGGTATTTTTCTGAATTTTGGACAGGCATTGCTACATTACTTTTTCATCTAAATACCAAATAAGGAATATACTCAGGAATGAATACAGTACATGTTAACTCACACACAGACATGCAACACAGAGCAATCCATTGAAGCTTTGGCTAACTTAACTGAACTAACATCCTCACATATCTATTTGTATTTACCATCATAGTTAGTCTTACTTTTGCAAGAGAAATATCAATTGCTTTTGATGCTACTTGAAGCATAGACAGTGTTGAAAGATCCAGGTTCTTACTAACTTCTCCAGTTGTTTCCTCATCCTCAACATCAACTGAAAAACAAAAAAAACATATGATGTGTTGGTTGAAAAAAATTGCTTCCCCCAGCAGGCTCAGTGCCAGGGGGTCATCAATACAATAATTAACACTTTCTTGTCATCCACATGTATAAAAAAGAAAATACAGATTTAGCCAGAAAGGACAGATAAAAAAATACATGAGCTATCCTTTGTTTGATTACTTCTTAACGATTTCTTTACACAGTCTTACCCAAGAAGTCAACAGCAAATGCAATTACTCCGAATGAAACCAAGAGTTACAAAAGAATTGACTCATACACATTTGGTCATAGTTGCTCTGAAGCATACGATGGCAAAAGACAAACTGAAGCTTGAAATAGCTTACCTAATTCTAGGACATCTTTCACCTGGTCTTCTTTATAGCAGGGGGATGTTGGAGACTTCCTGCATTAAAATTAATCAAAAAATGAATGACCAAATGTTCATGGAGAAAAGCTGCTTGAATAAACGAGAAGAAATATGGAGTATGCCCATACAAAGATATAATTTATTATGTGTGTGTACACATATGTGTGTATATAGGGGGGGGCGAGGGAGAGATAAAAAAAAATGCAGATAGATAAAAAACATATTCAATGGCTTTCACCTTTAGCTTTTAAAATGTTCCATACAAAGGAGCTCAGTGTCACTAGCATTTTTGTATAAAGCAATAAATGGTGTTCGAGCAAAAACTTTTTCGATGGAAGAAAGCTGAACCTCAGGAGTTCATCAGGAAAAGTAGCCAGCACAGAGAAATACGCTGCAATTGATTCAGGATTTCAGTCCGGTTTCAACACCAGTTCCACTTCATTTGTGTGACTTCAGCACACTTCAGGTCCTGCACACTCATATACAGGGGCACACTTTATAGCACCCTGAATTTCAGGTGAGGGTATTCACATATATGTGACTGTTTCTGAGTTCGAAGGATCAGCACATATAATAAAATTTACATCCCTGACGGCGACTGGGATGAGATTCAAGTTAGGCATTAAACTACTTGAAGTATCCAAATAATATAAGTGGGAATAAGTGTTAGACTGGCTTCTTTTACCAGGGCAATTTTTCAATCCACTAACAGGTAGCAGTTGTTCAACTACCTTGTGATTTATGTGTATATTATATAAATAATAGGTTAAAAATTCATATAAACAACTACTAGAAGGACTAAGCTTTTGAACTTGGCTGTGACATCAGAACCGAAATAGAATGTCAGATTTTCAGAGATGAGCTGGGTTTATTCTTCCTGTTGAATTCAAATCAAAATGAATTCAGAACCAAGGAGAAGTTTCAAATAACTACTGTTAAAAGACGGTCTTTTTTTTTTTCCAAAAGATAAATACTGCATGATTGGCCTTTGCTTTGGAAAAAAGGTATTGCACTGACAGTCCTTTCAAAAATAGTATGTAATAATATCCTCAGCAACATTCTTTGTATGCATGATATTATTATAGCAACAACTGCTGTCATATCCCATAATTTCCGTTAATTTAATTTCCTTTTTCAGTGTGTGAAAGGTGAATAAAACCAGAACACAGACATATCACACTCAGTATATTTCCAGTTTAAAAGTATTTCGGCACCTTTCTCACTGATAGCCTTTGATACTATGAGAAAAGAAATACGCCTCTTTTCTCCATAAACAAGTTAAAGGATTTATGCAACAAAATGCGCATGGCCACTATTCCGAAAAGATAGAATGGAAATGAATCACACATGTTACTAGGGACTTGAGGTAAAAATAAACAGGATGCCTAGCAGGTCAATATAAATAAGAGGATTGAGAGCAAATTGGTACAGTGGGATAAGTAGTATTGATCTCTCACTGAGTGTAACAGTACTTTCAACGTGATATGGAGTTTAATATAGTCGACTGTGGTATATTTTAAAATACAATCAGATCTCTCCTTATTTTTCACTAATACTGAATTTCAGCTGCTATTCCTTTCTGCTAGCTACTTGCTAGTGTTTTCATCTCTCCTGGTCAGGGAAAGGGTCTCAATGACACGAAATTTGCCAGTAAAATGTTTTTCAGCCAAGTACTCATGTCACTTAACTACAGTTAGACACAACCACAATCCACATTTTTGTTTTGCCTGAGATTGCACACTATTGTCTTCTGTTTCCTAGAGAATAATGTGTTTCTTCCTAGGTCAACCCATTTCAATCTAGTTTTGCAAAAACAGAGTTCTTAACATTTAAGAATGCAGCATCACAGGTGACAGCATTCTACTGAGCCTCAGTTGCTGCTTCAGAAGGGCTTGGGTCTCCTAAAGGTACTGTATCCTATCTCCCAGCTTCATTAGGTGTTTTGGATACCTTAGAGTCTCAACAGCACTATATGCCTATGTTCAGGCACGTAGATCACTCCCTACAGCAAATTAGCACCCTTGTTAAGTTGTTGTCCCAAACACTTCTCCTTGGTAGTGTTTCATCTGAAAAAATCTATAAATGAAAATAAAGTTGACTGTGATACAATTCATCTATAGCTCACCTGGCACCAATTTTTGTAACATTACTGCTTTCTGGCAAGATTTTGGTTCTACAGACATTCCAGGAAGAACCAAGCCTGGGATGCAAAGTGCTTTGAATTCTCAAGGCACGAGGAAATTCCCATCAAAGTGAGGAAAGCGCTGACATCCAGGATTGATGTGAAGTGTTTTCTGGTTAAGCGGGGTGTCTTTGCAGGTGAAGGTTTCCTCCTTAAGGGGAACTGTCAGGACATTTATTGAAATTTCCATTTCAGCAGATGGCTACTGTTCCAGAAAAATTTATTGTACACATAAAACCATACAGTCAGAGCACTTAGGAAGGGGGAAGTCATCCATCATGGCAGAAAAATGGGACAGGAAAAAAATATGTTTTATTATAAACATACTATACAGTACTTTCTCTAAATATTTGAACATTCCTATCTGAACTTCATCCATCGCAGAAAACTGAATTTACACAGAACAGCTGAGCTTGCAGAGAAGGCACTCCTTGGCACAATAACGCACGTACATTCCACCATTTCCTATTTACACTACCATACACAAGAGGTCAAATAAACAAAGGGGCTTAAAAAATAAACACTGATCATCAGTGGCTTTAAGATGACTGTGTTGGTAAAACTTATTTTCACTGCCTGATTACAACAGCTTTTCTACTGGACATACATCTTTTTCTACTGGACATATATCTTTTCTGCATAATAATTTAGTGTCAGAAGGATGCCTAGAAGTAGCAATGTAATCCTCCGGTCTTGTGGTGTTATGGCATGTACAGAGGTAGACAACATTCTTGGCATAGTGCATAAGATCTGGAGAGCAGGTAAGAAAAACATTAGACTGTTACTATTTGCAAAAGGATAAACAAGGCCATTTTACGTGATGCAGTTCGACACTGCTTTGGGACAAAATTATAAAAACAGAATTATTAAAACCAATTGCAAAGATGCAATGGAAATTATCATAATCAATACCAGGCAACATATTTCTATGGGAAAAAGACCTTGCCAAGCAGATTTAATATCAATTCTGCCATGCTTACAAGTCTGGTGGACAAAGGTAACAGAGCTCATACACTTAATTTCTCCAAACTTCATTTTTAGTTAAGACCTGCATCTGATTTGATACATGTGTGAAAAATAGATTCATAAACAGATGGCTCATTGACAGATATAACAAAGGTAAATTAAAAACTTGTCATTAAAAGGGTCATTTCGAATAAACTCAAACACGAATCTGCATTTGTCCTGCTGCATTTTATTCTGTAGTGACAATTGAGGGGAAAACTACCTCCTTGCTGAGAAGGTTTGTATATGAAAAAAATACGATGATAATCACAGGTTGAGCTACAAGATGGTTTGAAGTGCATGATCAGTTGGGCTCACCTGAACAGAATGCTCTCGCATAGGCAATGAATTAATATTTATCTCCAGCTATAAAACCAGACCTACTATAATAGAAGTCTAGCTCCTTTATTCGTACTGTATTCTATCAAAGCTTTTTCGGTGCAACATCCCCACACTGGAATTTTCCAGGAGCAGAGTACCATTTGTGTGAATTGACAATTACATTCAGCAACTCAAAACAGTCGCCAGAAAAATAAACCAGTATCAGTAAAATAAAATAGGGATCTAAATTTCCATCATATAAAGATGCTTACAATATACCAGCTAAGAGATGCTACATAAAGCATTGAGAAGGCTTCTGACTTCAACACTCAATCGATTCATATCAGTGGAGGTGAATACAACCCTCCGTTCTGACTGTCATACATAACGTACCCACTCTGCCTGGTTTTGGCCTTTAACTTTTAGGCCATTTATTTTTAAGGATGTGGAATTTTTGTGGACTTACAGTTCCTGTCAGAAACCTCAGATTTTTAACAGTCCAAATCACTGTCACCTGACAGATTTTAGCAAAATAAACTTCCTGAAAGCCAGTATCAAGTGTTAAATTGGAAAAAGACAAAAGCTTACACTGAGCAGCTCATTTTATCATAAAAAAAGGTGAATACAGAGAACAGCCTACAGGTGAGCACACATACTGCAAAGAGAAAATTTACCTCCTGGTAAAGTAATCTTAGGAAGAGTAACATACACAGGGACAAAAATTCCTTGTGCTACCTGCAAACAACTGATTATTTTTAAGGAGCAAGTAATCTGTCATACTGCTTCCTACCATGCTCCCCCAATGCTTGTACATAGACACAGTGAAAGGAAATGGTGTGAATCCCCACCAGCGAAATAGGACGTATTCTGTCCGTTCTTACTTTGCATTTGCGTCCCTGTATGTTTGCATGAACAAGGCAAATTCTCATTTGACTGAATGCATTTTAGGCCATGGGCTGGACCTTTCCAGTTTCACATCCTTTCCAGAAATAAAGAAATGATACAGAAGCCATTTGTCATTTCCAGTAATTGCAAAGTGCTTCTTCCTACGGAGTGCTGGAAAAATACTAAAAGGGTAAATGGCAGCATGCACAGATGTTATGTCGAAGGCTCTGATGCCATAAATCCATTGGCACAAAACAAAAGTCACAATAGTTTATTGCTTTTATTTTAGGTCCTTTCTTCCGGTCCAAGCATTATGTTATACAAGGTGTTATGCAACTCCAGATAGTTCAAGGATTTCACTGCCGAGTGATCTGGCAGCTACAATCTCTCTCTTTTTGTATATGGGCTAGTTAAATCCATATTCCCCAAAGATGACCCCATTTTGTTTGACAGCCATTCTTCTGACGGCTAACTGCAAGTGTCACTTAAAGACATTCCCTGGCTGGCAGCTGGGCGCACTCCGGGAGGGTTTGGCGAGCCTCTCAGGGTAGGTGCCGACTGCACTGTTCTCACTGTGCTTCCTGCCTACAAAGCCACACCGAAGCATTGACAAAAGCTTGAGATGATGCCATGGGCTTCTTCG